GGCTTTATGTTTTCCTGTTAAAGTTATGGATTGGATTCCTATGGACGGTTCATTCTCAAAGAATACAGATAGTTCAAGTGCAACATTTACAGCAGCTTATACGCCTATTAATGTTAAAAGTATTTGGCACTATTTAGAAAGAAAGACAACTATTATGTTAATTTTGAGAACCCTAAGTTTAAATATCTTCAGCTTTCCATGGGAGCTTATGGAAATATGCCTGCAGAACCTGAAAAATCATATGGACCTGTATTTTATGAAATGGTTGCGAACGCTTGCAATACAAACAATGATATGATAGGATTTAATGAAGATGTTATGAGGTCATTGGTGGATGATGGTAGTGTGGAACATAAATGGGATAGCTATGACAACACACATTTCTTATGTGGTTTTCCAACAGAAGTGGACTTTTGCTTCCAGCAAGGTCAAACATCTACTGCTCCAATAACATACAAATTGTCTGTTAAAGGACCTATTGAACTAGCAACTGAAAATGTACCAAAGCCACTTATTGGATTTATGAGGGATTGTTGCTTTGCAATACAAGTAAGACAGTCAGGCATACCAATAATAAGACTTGACGACTATAACTTAGCAACTGACGACAGTGAGGAATAAAGGATGAACGTTTATTTTTAAAGCTTATAAATGAGTTCTTCATCAAGCTCTCGTGAACCTTCACCATCTATGAAACAAACTTTACCAAACGATTATGGAGCACCTATTGAATATTTCTTACGAGCTGCACAATGGCAAAGAGAAGTCTCACCAAGGTTAGGTGTTCCACCAGCTCCTGTCAAAAATAGCATTTGGTCAAGTCCTTATATAAGATATGGTCTCCCACTAGGTTTGCTAGCTACAGCAGGAGCAGTTATGATGTTGAAAAGAAATAAAGCAAATGTTATAAATAATACTGAAGTAGCTGAATTTGAACAAACTCCGACACCTTCGTTAAAACCAACGCCTTCACAAGCAAAACCTTCAATGACTCCTGAACCTATGGAAGTACAAACTCCTGTTCAAAAGTCAACTCCTAAACCGACTCCAACATTTAAACCAGAACCTACGCCTCAAATAAATCGTAAAACTCCTGCGTTTCCTTACTGAAAAAATAACGTTATTTTTATTTTATTTGAACATTTTTATTTGATTGAAATGACGACTAAAGTCACTGAAGCAATGAAACAAAAATTTTTGGTAGAATACATTAAATCAGGAGCGGTTCCAGAAGGTTTTTACGTTCATACTATGAAGGATGGTAGAGTTCAGTTTAGAAAGATAAAGCAACCATTAGATAAAGAAGGAATTTTGAGAAAGATTAAACTTCATGAGGACAACATTGCTGAACTTAAGAAGAAGTTAGAAGAGTTGGAGAAAGGAAGAGAGTTATAAAGCAATGAATTCAACGGGTGAAAAAAGAGGTGAAAAAAGAGGTGAGATTTCACCACTTCACCTAAATTTAAATGGATGTTTTCATACGTGTGAGGGTGGTGATATCATTAATTTTTAAGTTTATTTTTATTTTATTTTTATTTTATTTGGATGTAATGACGAAAACTATTGAGATAACAAACTACAACGGTCATGAGTTCAAGAATTTGTTCTTCGTTCCTCGTGAAAATACATTCTATCAGATACGAGGGAGAAAGGGTAAAGTTAGTTTGAGCGTTTATGAAGGAATGAAGAATGGAAAGTTTATACAAGCATACGATACAAACGGTAAACGTGTTTCATTAGCTTTGTCAAAACTTACTAACATTTATTTTGACAGTGACTTTGACTCTGACGATTGGAGCGACAGCAGCGATACTGAAGAATATGAACTATTGTGTGAAGCACAGCAATGGGAAGAGTTGCAATACTTTTGTAAGTGAGAACGTTTATTTTTACAGTAGTAAGGTGAAGTGGTTGGCGGCTTTATAAATATTTAAGGTTAAGTTGGTGTTTGTGTTTGTGTTGTAAAATATACGTTAACGGTTTTGTAAAGTGTCAAATTCACAAGTATTGCGTACTAAGGAACGCAGTGCCTCAGTACACGACTTAGGGATACTAACTGATCTCATATTTATTTTTCAACTATCTACCTCCTATTTTATTAAGTATTCCTTCAGCTATTCCACCAATTGCGTTACCTGCTTGTGCTCCCATCGCCGGATTACCTGCTTTAGTACCTAATACTCCACCTATGATAGTTCCTGCCGTTTTCGCTACTGGTGCCAAAAAGTTTGCAACGGGTTTAATAATCTTTTTATGAACCCAACCTGCAGCTTTCTTAATTCCATCCCATAATTTTTTAAAGAATCCTGCCGCCATTTCTGATTTAATATTAATTAAAAAATATATTTCATCACTTATATTCTAATTTTTATTTAATGATAAATGAAACCGATTTTAAAAATAAATGAAACAGAGGAGGAAGAAATAAATGAAAGTGAAAATGTTCAACAAAAAATAAACGTTGTTAAACCAATTACTGAAATAAAAATTTTTTCATCTGTTGAAGAATTTAATGACTATTATGCTAATAATAAAAAATTATTTGAAGAATTGACAACGTGTAAATTGAATAAAATGTTTAAAGTTGATGGATTCAAAATTTCAAAAATAAAGGGGGTGATTAGTTTGAAATCTATTCCTCAATCAAGAATCACCTCATTAATGAAAATAGATGATTTAACAAAAAGAATAGAAGAGATTGAAGAAAGAGTAAATCAGATAATTGATTTCATAAATTCAAATAATCATTAGTTTCTTAAAGTTCTATGTTGAACTCATCAAATTCTTCTTCATCATTACCATTACCTTTAGCGAGTTTATTTACTCTTTCAACTTTATCTTTTGATAGTCTTTCGTTTAATTTTTTGAAGTTTTTCGTTACCAAGTTCTAAAATTTTACACGGATGATATTTAAACCCGTTAAATTCTTTTTCCTCAGTTTTAATCATTAATCTACAAAGAACTTTAGTGAGGTGGTTTTGTTGTTTAAACCATTTATCCTTAATATTTGTTATAAATTCAATATCCGGAATTAATTCCCAAATTTTTGAATTTTCGATTAATTTACCATCAAATGCAAAAGCAATAGGTTTAATATTAAACTTACCTTTATAAAATAAACTTTGTACGCAATCATCAAAATAAACGTCTACTTGTTTAACCTGGGTGAGAATTGGTGAAAGTTTATCCATTAATTGATTCACAGTCACGAATTTTGATTCACTCATTTCTTACGAATTAAAAAAATAAATTATTCAAAAATGTAAGACATGAATTTTTAAAGTTTATTTTTATTCATGAAAATAATTATTTCTAATTTCTTTTACTCTCTCGTATATACTAGATTTAAAGAATTCAGAACATTTCCCATAATCTCCTAAATGTTTTCTTATCCCGAACGTGTGCCAGTTATTATATGAAACTGAATAAACTTTATCTTTATCTTTACACCTTTCATCACTTCCAATATATTTATATCTCAGTTTTGATTTAGCATTTTCATATTCATTAGCGTTTAATAATTCACAGTCTTCCTTTTTAAATTGATGTTTAAGATATTCAGGATTTAATACTCTACGTTTATATGCTCCTAACTTAGTTCTAAAGGTTTTTCTACAAAATTTAGGAATTCCATCCTCTTTAATGTCATCAATGATTTCCATTTCATTATTTTCAATTTCTTCTTCTCGTTTATGAGGTCTTTGATTATGACTCCATTGATTCCATGAAATTAAATATTCTTTATCATTATATTTATACCTCATTAGCTTATTTTGGCTTTCATATTCATTTAATAATTCACAATCTTCATTTTTAAATTGAAGTTTAACCCATTCAGGATTTAAACAATGTTTAATTAATCGCGGAATATCTGACATCATCTATATATAGCTTCTTTTATAAAAGATAAAAAAATAAATTATTTTAAAATTAATGTTAATTTTTTAATGATTTATAAATAAATATATTTTAATGCATCGTCTATATATAGATGTAACAAAAAAAGTCACTAAACCCGTCATATCCTACTACTATTTAAAAATTTCTCCAAAACTAAATTTATAGATATCATAAAGTAACTTATTATTTGTTATGATATTTTTTCAGATTTCATTCTTTTATTACTATTAAACTTATGACTAAAAAATCAAATATAATTCAAAAAGTTCCAAAAAAATATCAAAAATGAAAATGTTAGAAATGGCTATATATTCCAAATTTCATCAAAATTTTGGAAATTGCCATTTCAAATCAACACATCATCGAGGTCAATGGGATAGAGAAATTCTAATTTCAAGCCATTCAAGCTGATTTCAAATTCATATTTTCAAAATTAAGCAAATAAATTCCAATTGAAGCAATTATTAATACTAAAAAACCAAATTTATTCACAAACAATTTGGAGAATTTGTTGCTTTAGAACTTTTCTTAAAAGTATGGACTATATTAACAAGAACTTACTTTCATTCTCAAGCTTAATCAATCTATTGTAGAATGAGATACTAATTCATGAACTCTTAATCATTCTAATGATTTTTGCAAACAATATCCTATCGTGCGTTTTGATTTTAAATTTCAGAGAGTTAACATGACTTACTTACGCCATCTAAATGAGAGCAAAGTTGAGAGATGTATACACATGTCACCAATATCCAGTAAGATGATTTAATGAAAGTGTTTTATATTAATATATAGAATGTATACAAATAACTTGATACATTTTTATCGGATTCATTGACAGATGTTCTGAAAATCAAGTAAACAATCTCTTGGAATAAGCTAAATCTTTGTTTTATAATTACATAGCCGGGATCAATCGAGCTATTTCTCTCTGATTGAGTAATTTTTATTGAATTTTTCAGAAAATGTGAAAATATGTTCCTTTGTGAACAAATTAGATTGTTTTATTAAAATTAAATCATTTATAATTTGAATATTAAGTCCTATTAAAAATCAAAGAAGTGAAATTATCATTTCTGTTTTATTTTTTTTGTTGTGAAATGCTTTTTTTCTGTTTATCCCTTGCCCTTTCTCATGGCACTGTTCTTGAGAAGCCTATCAGTACTAAACTTCATGTAGAGCTTGGTGGCTTTGAAAATGCCAGCAATGTTAGAAGCAAATTGGAAGATTCACTTGGAATTTTCTCTCGAACTAAGCATTATAAGAATTTCGATGTTACAATCGAGTACTATTTTGCAGAGATGCCAGGAATGCTTGTTCATGACACTGTTCAAACAATAAAAACAAATTCAGTTCCTACAGATTTCGAACAAGTTCGACAATACGAATTCGGCCCCGACTCTGATATTGTTCAGAGCATTACACAGCATGTCAATAGTAATAAAAAAGACGATTATCCACATTTATTCTTAGTTAATTTGGGTCCAGATACATCCTATCAATTAGAATACGGTAATTCACCAGAGCCAAATGATTGCTTTGTCTTCAATTCAAAAATTGCATTTTGTGCTTTTAATATTGGTCAAATCGGCGCGGAAGCCGCTTTATTCCGCAGAATTTCAGAATTCGTCAATACAATTGTTCTCCCCGATGTACCAATTCAAGACAATCCAATTCCATCGACCCTTGACATTCCAATTATCAGTTTTACAGAATTTAGCCTCAAAACCAACCAGCTTCATGATCCATTATACAAGATCCTTCCAAGAATAATCAAAGATCGCATTACTGTTACGAAGAAGAACCTCTTTAACTATCCATTGATAGCAGCCGGTATTTTCCGACCTCCACAGTGCAACAACGTCGATTTAATGGATCTCATCCTCTCAAATAGTCATGTCCTTGGCCCGTCAATGGCCTACGCCTTTGAGGAAGATAAATCGAAGTTAATTCTTCCAACATTTGTTTTTCCAGACAACGACAGCATTGCATACGTCGAAGGAAAGACCTCCGCCATTCTTTCAACCGAAAAAGATGTTTATCGACTTGCTTTATCAGCAATTGCCGAAAACCTCCCTGGAATCAAGACATCCTTCGGTGGACATCATCCAATATTCCCATATGGTGGCTCAGATGACTTCTCAGAGCTTTTTGAAGACAGTGTTTCAAAAAGTTTTATTTTCGGAGATTTACAACACGCGATCCAAGTTTATGAGGAAGTTAACAAGACAGTTGATTGGATAAACTCACAGAAACTATACTCCAATAGGTTTTTGCCATCATCTCTCCAAAAAGTTTTAGATTTGATTAACAAAACTGCAATAAGAGTTAGTAACAACCAACTGGACAAAGCACTATCATCATCAATGTCAGCACGCGATGAAGCAGACAAACTCAAGGATAACGTAGACAAAGTAAAGATGAAAGTGGAAATTTTCGGCAGATGCTGCCCAGTTATCAAAGTTGTCAAGAAACCATTGATGAAACCATCGTGGGTCGCGTTCTGTCTCACTGCTATCATCTTAATTTACGCACTTCTTAAGTTCATCTCTCTGTACAAGAATAAGAGGCGTGGTTACATTCCTGCTGTCTTCGATTTCTAATTGTATTTGATTTTCTTTTAAAGAATGATATAATCCACTAATATCTTTATTTTGTAATATCTTTATTTTAATAGCTGAAATTATATTTACTTTCTCCTGACCAAAAAAATTATCCAAAATGAGAATATTGTGATAAAAAAAAATTTGAATTAATGTCAGAAAGTTGTAAGTGCATCCTTAAGGGTGAACTTACACCCCTATGACATGGACTTCAATTCAGATGTTTAATGACTTCTCGCCAATTGTGAAAAATTTGTATTAAAGTTTAGATGAGCGTAAGTGCATCCTTAAAACAAAAATTTGATCATTAAAAATACATACAAATACATTTATATCACAAACAAACAAATAAAATAAGGAAATTTAATCAAGAACATCTTTAATATCATTAAGATTTAGTATTTGATCGTTAAATTGTGTATCATTGTTGGTATTTCCAACTGTATTTTGATTATTTGGAATTTTATTTTGGAAAATTGCGCCAAATGCAATTGCAGCAAAGCTAACAACAATAATTACGTATAGTAGTAGCATAAATCTCTTTTTCCATACATTTACAGCCGCTTTAGTGAACTTACACCTCATGTTTTTCTCCTGAATGACTTTGTAGCCGCATAGTGTAGTTCCTTGGTAGTTTTTACTGACATGTATTAGTGTGGATGTGTTAAACACTAACGGATGACTTATTTCCACATCAAAATCCGAACAATAAAAAATTCTTGAAAGAAGTGAGCAATTTCTAAATGCAAACTCTCCTATCTCGTATATACTCTCTGGGATAGATATTTCTTTCAAATTATTGCAATGTAAAAAGCAATTTTTGCCAATAATCTTCAAAGTATGAGGCAAAAGCACTGTTTTAAGGGAAGAACAGTTTGCAAAGCATTCATCGCCCAAATATTTGACTCCAATAGGAATATTTGCTTCAGTAAGATAAAAATTATTTGAAATACTTCGATTTCCAAATCCAATTATTGATTCTTGTACATCGAATGATTCTATTGCTGTCGCATTCTCCAATCTTACGAGTTCTATGAAATTTTTACAAATATATCTAAATTTATATTTTTTTGTGACAATAAACCTCAAAGTCAAAAATTTTGTTCCATAAAAAGCATTTTCACCTATTTTCCTTATTGATTGAGGTATTTCCATTGATATTAATGAGGAACAGGAGTAAAATGCATTTTCCTTGATTTCTGACAAAGAATTTCCGATTCTGACTGTTTCTAATGATGTACAACTGCGAAATGAGTCACGTTCTACCAATTTCACGTTGTTATCCAAATAAACAAAACTCAATCTTTCACAATTAAGAAAACAAGAACAAGGAACAACAGAGCAGTCATAGTAGACGACTTTTAATGATCTGCACGAGTCAAATAATGAGTTCTCAACAATTGAATTCGAACAATTCACTTGAATTGAGTTTAGATTTGGACAACCAGCGAAAGAATGATGTCCAACGAATAGCACTGATCTTGGAAGATAAATTGACGAGAGATTTGACTGATAAAAGGCATACGAATCGATAATTTGAAGCTTTTCTGATAATTGGATGGAAGAAATGCTGCTTCTGTAAAATGAGTATTGCTCAATGCGATGTAGGTTCTTGGAAGTAATAAGAAATGATAGATTTGAGTAGGAAAAGGAATTTTCACAAATAACTCGAATTGATGATGATAATTTCATTGAATTGAATGTTGAGTTCATTACCTTAATGATTCTGTCATTGTATGTAATGATACTTGCCTTGATTTTGTATTTTGGATTGTTTTTGTCGATCTTGATTTTGTAATTTGAATCTATTTTACGAAATAGTTCTGGATTCACGTAAGAAACAAATTGGCTTATTGTAAGTCCTTTTTGTGGAAGTTTATCAAATAAATAGCTGATTATAACGGTATTATTAGGATATTTGATTTTTTGATCGAAATCTGGAATATCTGTAAGAGATGCATACTTGGTATTGTAGATATCGTATATGTATCCGCTGATATTGATCGATGAAGAGAAACCTGTCAAATTTTTGCAACCAGAAAAGATTTCTGGTGATTTAAATATAGAATAATCAATGCACGTAACCTTATTAAGACTTGTACAGTTGTAAAAAGCTCTTTCGAAAATAGACGAATCTGGTTTCATTATCGAAATTGACGTAAGATTAGAACAGAAAGAAAAAGCATATGGCCCAATATAGCTAATGCTAGACAAATCAATGTTGTTGAGAGAATAACAGTGTTTGAATGCATTTCGCTGGATTTCTTGGGTTAAACTACTTAATTTAACTGTTCTTAAATTATAACAGTTCTCAAAACACGATTCTGGTATAGTTTTGATAAGAAGAGGTATATTTATTGAAATTAAAGATTCGCAATTTTTGAATAATGAATCACCGATTGAAACAATGGTATCTGGTAACTTGACATTTGTCGGTTTGCACTGTCCAAATGCATTTTTATTGATTTTTGTAATTTTCATGACTGCTGTATCAAAAATTACAGAACCTTTAATTGTTAGATCGCTGGAACATGAGAGAATACTATTTATGGAGGCTTCATGCATATCTTCTGTTTCGTAGTCAACATTATTTGAGAAAAATTTATAAAATATAAAATAAAAACATAACATTATAAAAAATAATGTAAATAATACCAATGATAAATCTGATAGGCCGTATAAACATATGTTAAAGCTGTATTTTCATTTTTACAACTTCAATTTCCATCAACATCTCTTCAAGTATAAATTGCATATCAATTAAACTATGTTCAGATATTATTAACAGTATTTTATTAATGAGTTTTATTTTGGAACCACTAATAATTATTTTGCAAAGAATGCTCTTATTCGAATCACAAATGTAGCTTGCACTATGAGATAAAATGTTATAATGCGATGACAGCCTTACAGCTTTGTCCAATATTTGAACATTTTGCATCGATATCTTACAGCTTTGTTATGTATGATAAGTCATTGTTGTGAAAAAGGATCTTGAATATATTTCTATATTTTTCCATTTGTAAGGAAAGGAATTGAATTTTGAAGAAATCTGTTCAGAAAAATTATAAAATCTTGATTGAAGTTCAAACCATAATAAATGACACCATTTTCTCGATCCTTTATTTACAAAGTGCCAGAGTACTCGTATAAATCGAGGATAAATCAATAAAATATAAAATACATTTAAAAAATGTTGAGTATACGTACAGATATTTATAAGATTCAAACATTAAAAGTAAACAAGTCATCTTCTACGGGTAAATCATAGTTTGCTGGCATTCCTTGGAATATTTCGGGTGGATAGAATAAAACATCCTCTGGTGGTGAGCTAGCCTTCTCATCAATGTCAAATGAAATGCTTTCAGATTCTTTGTCTTTTTCAGTGAGAGATTTCGTATGATGAGGTTGTAACTTCTTTTCATTGACCAATTTGCCTTTTACGAGTTCATAGTACAGTTCCTCACCACCACGAACAATGGATATGAACTTCGCAATGGTGTGACATGTTGGCCTTCCTCTCTTCATATTTAAGTGATATGATGGAAAAATTTTATGACTATTGATTGGACGGAAAAATTACCATTTCAAAATTTTTAAATTTCGTTTGGTAAAATGGAGTTGGGGAAAAGTTGTAAAAATTACAGTATTAAAAATTGAATTGGACAGAAAATTTTTAAATAAATGTGAAGTGTCGAAGTTTTGATTTTTTTGAATTCATCAACTTCATTATATTGAAACAAAATGTTTTTCTTAATAATAAGTTAAAAAATTTTCTGATAAAAAACCACCAAAATATTTTAGTTGCAGATCCTATTCTTTGCTTCTGAAGGCTCCATTTTATTACTTCAAATTGGCTGATATGTAATAAGGGTTTCGTTTTGCTAAAATTGTCACTTTTATAGCATATTTGTTTTTGGATGTTTTGCGAAACCAAAAAAAAAACTATGATATACAATGTGTGTGTAAAGAAAATACTTTATTTACTAGTTAAAAAATCATTTGGTATTGATCAAGTTATTTTTTCTGGATAAGATATTATATGGATAATTGGATAGAAAATACAATTATATAATCTTGTACCTGGTTTAATTAAGCTAATTGTCATCAGAAACTTGTAATTTTTATGAATTTCAGATTTTCTTTTCATTACTGCTTTTCTTAATAGGTCTGTAATAAACAGAAATTCATCAAAAGTGACAGCTCTCAATTTTTTGACATTTGTAAATTCTAAATTGAATGAGAAAAATGAAATAATACTAAGCATAATACAATATTCTAGATTTAATTATAATTAGGAAAAAGTTAGTTTTGAGAGTACTTTTCATAGGCATATAGAATGAAATCTTCTGAAAAATAATATCACATAAACTCATATTATTTTCTAATATATAACTATTTTATATAAAAATCAAATTCAATGATCTTAAAAGCGAAGGATAAACCTCAAAATTTACGAATATAATGAGTGGGAATATAATGCTTATCTATCATAAAACCATATGAAATATCAATTTTTGCTTTACGCCTAATTTTTGACGACAATTAGCAAAAAATGTTAAATGTTAACACTCAGTCCATTTGAATATGAAAAATAAAATTGACTTTGATTAAATGTTTTTATTTATCATGCAATTCTTCTTGCGACCAAAGATTTGAATAAAAGTTCAAAAAATAAGATAGCTTAAAAAATAATATACGGTAGTGTTTACTAATAGATGAATAGTATATAAATTCTATTAAAATGGATTTCATCCAAAAAATATATAAAATTTGATCATAAATAAAATCGTTTTAAATTACTTCTTCATTTAAATTATAACAATTATTTTTGGTTTTATATTTTTTTGAACTTTTATTCAAATCTTTGGTCGCAAGAAGAATTGCATGATAAATAAAAACATTTAATCAAAGTCAATTTTATTTTTCATATTCAAATGGACTGAGTGTTAACATTTAACATTTTTTGCTAATTGTCGTCAAAAATTAGGCGTAAAGCAAAAATTGATATTTCATATGGTTTTATGATAGATAAGCATTATATTCCCACTCATTATATTCGTAAATTTTGAGGTTTATCCTTCGCTTTTAAGATCATTGAATTTGATTTTTATATAAAATAGTTATATATTAGAAAATAATATGAGTTTATGTGATATTATTTTTCAGAAGATTTTGTGTTCTTCTTCAAAATTTTATTTTTTTATTAAAAAGAATCTTTACAAAATATACATTTACTTTAATTAATATTTAAAAACTTGCTCTATCAAAAGTTCCAAAAATTCAATATTTTAGCTTTTCTGAAGTGTCACTTTTGATGAATTTCTGTTTACAACAGGTCAAGTTCTTATTTACGTTATAAAGTATGATATTTACAAATATCAAGTTATCATGTTTTTTGAGAAATTATGAGAAACAAACAAAAATGAAAAAGATAGGAATAGCAATGAATAGTGATGTGGGTATAGAAAATGTAAGAGATCTGAATGCAAAGCAATCAGTATTTAGGATATTGACCATAGATTTCGAAAAAAAATGCTGCATATTGAGCGAAAACTATGATTATATTATAAGGCTGTCATTTAAAGCATAATGAAACTATTCCCTTTTCATTTTAATCGAATAAGATAGTAAAGATTTTTGAATTAGCTAGAAACTGATGAGATGTTTTCACAAATCAGATTTTTAATCTCTATAATGCATAATTCACTCAATATCTTAATTTTGATATTGCGAGATATTTTTGCTATCGGTTTCGCAATTTTGACACAATAGCAAGAGGGTTCTATAAGCATTATTATCAACGTAGAATCTGAATATCATATCAGAAAATGTCGCAAATCTGACATTTACCCGACCAAATAGCAAAAATAATTGAATACTTTTCGCAAAAACTTTAAAAATCGATAAAAATATGAAATATAGATATTAAAGAGACTTTTTATATAATATTCATAAAGATTTTCCAAAAATATGATACCGCAAAATTAAAAAAGTGACGTCTTGAGTGGAGTCAAAGATCGAAATTGCTAGCTAAATGTTTTTTTAGCGAAATTGCGTATTGTACGTTTTTTTCGCAAAACGAAACCCTTATATGTAAGGTGCAATTGTTAAAGAGTTCGTTGTTGTTTTTACAAATTTCGTAAAAAATTTATAGATCTTTTTTTTTAAATCTAATGATGAAGGAATATCTTATACAATACTGCAATTAATTTATTATCCGCTTAATCATCAAATATAAAAGAAATACCGAAATTTGTATGAAATCGAAAAAATCACCTGGATTCACATCAATAAACAATCTGTTTGTATTATAACTGACCGTATTTGATCAAAATGTATAAGACGTGATATAATTTTTTTTTAGTTATGGTTTTTTTTTGTTTATAATATCAACAAACAGACATTTTATTTTAAGGAATATGATAAATATATATACTAGATACCAAGAAGGCTCTTTAAGTTAGTCAATTCTGGCTCAATCTTTTTCTTCTTTGGTTGCGTATTCCTATCTTCCGTTTTAAGTTGTGACATTTGTCTTTCTTTTGCTGTTCTCAAGTTTCCATCTGTTTTGGCTTGAAAAGCTTTTTCCTTCATTGCCTTTTTATTTATTGCTAGATATCTATTTCTAGCTTGTATCTGCTTCATGTGTTCTTCAGCTTCTTCGGCTTCTTTTATCCTTGCATTCCTCTTCTTTTCAAGTTTCTTTTCCAGAGCTAGCATTTTCTCTGCTTCTTCTTTTTCTTTCTCTTCTAAAATCTTCATTTCCATTTCCTTTTTGGCTTGACGAGCTCTTTCATGTTCTTCTTCTTGCTTCGCTCTATATTCTGTTTCTTTGTTTAGTAATTCTATCATATGATTGATCTTTTCTTCTTTTGCTCTGCGGTGTTGTTCAATTAAATCTTGTACTTTTTGTTTTTGTGCAGCTAAATTTTCGGCGCGAAGTTTTTCCGTTTCTTCATCTGTTAGATCAGCGAGAAAATGAGAAGTTGTGATTGAAATTGGAGAAACATATCGATCTCTATTTGTTAATTCATGATTTTTGGCGGCCTCTCGAACTTTGTTTGCCTGAGCAACCCGAGTTTCTCTTTCAATTGTTTGCTGGCGCTTGATAAGACGAAGATCATCTCTGTATTGCTCTTTCATCTGCTTAGTCTCATCTCGATTTTTTTTAATCATTTTTGCAACAGCAATTGGAGCACCATCAACTATCTCTCTCTTTAGTCGCCTTATTTCATCTCGTTCTGCATCAATTTCAGCTTGAGTTTGTTCTAATTGTTTTCGTATTTCAGAACGTATTTGAGATCCATTATTTAATTGTTCTTTGATCAAGTTTTCTTTGGCTTTTTTTGCACGCTTTCTGCACTTATCAAGATCTGAGTGCCTTTTTGCAATCAAATCTTTTCTCTGGTCTTCATCCTTTTTCTTCATTTTTTGCTGCCATTTGTTAAATTCAACAGGCTCAGCATTTTTCCTTTCAATTTCTCGTTTTACGTTTTTGTTAATAATATATTCATTTCGTTGGAGTAGTCCATGCGTAACTCTGAAGTCTACCTCCTGGTATTCAGGTGGTGCATTAGTATATGTTGGTATTTCTTCAATTTCCTCTTCTTCTGGTTGCGGTTTTACTCTTGATAATCTCTCGAAATATTCTGTTGTAGGTATAGGTTCTTGTTGAGTAACTCTACGTGCTGATGGTGGTCTGAACGTTGTATCTGGAATGGGTGTTGGAGTAACCTTTGTGATTTTTCGTCGAATCACATAGATTTTTTCGCTCATTCTATAAAAATTTTGATGTACGTTAATTTTAATTTCTTTATAAAAAAATTAAGGGCGGTTATTTGATATTTGGGTGGAAATATGAGGGCAATTCCAGTATCTTTAAGCCTTACCTTTTCCTCTCGAAAAGGTAGATGTTGTCTGAGAGATGTCAAATAACTAAGGTAGATCACAGAAAAATCAATAGATTCCAAGTAACTGCAAATATATATAATTAAAAGCAAACATATTTATTTATAAAAAAAAATCTAATATATATCAAAAAAATAAAACAAGATAATTAAAGTTCTACAACTTTGACGCAGCTCTTAACAATAGATACAGAGTTAGGTTCTCCAAATTTTGCTGCTTTTGCCAACAAAAATGCTACTTCTTCCTTTGTTCCCCCTATTTTACCATTTTGTATCAGTGAAGCTAAGTTGTACAACGCGTAAGGTTCATCGTGTTCGACTGCCATCTCCAGGTAGTTCATTCCTAAGTCGAATGAAAGAGGGTCTGTCCTCAAGATATGTGTTCCGTAGTCAGTTAGAGCTCGTGCGTTTCCGTTCTGGCAGTTTCTCCATAGAATGTGGAGTTCAGCCATTCTAAGTGTTCCTTCAGTGTCTAGAGAGTACTTAAGGGAAGGCGTGACAGCTAGATCAAACTTAAGATCATTCTTGTTGATGAACGCTGTTTCGAAGTCTTTGTCATTGAAATCTACTGGTTTGAGAAGAGGTTCAACATAGTTTTCTCTAGAAACAACAATTTCATTGTGTGATGATTCTTGTTCTTGTGTTTGTTCTGAGTTGAAAACTTTCTTGTCGTCATTGAACATCTTCTTCTCCAGTTCTTGCTGCTGTTGCGCAAGTTGTGCTTTGAGCTGTGCCGAATCTTCGAGTTGTTTCTTCAGTGCTTGGATGTTCAATTCCATGTCGTCGATGTCCATGTTCGTCTGACGAGTATCAATGACTGACTTCTGAAGAATGTCGTTTGACTTGTTGGAATTGGCACGGATGTTATCAAGACTTTGTTGGAGATCTGAGCATTTGGACTCGATATCTTGTAATTCTGCGACTAATGACTGTTTGCGTGATTCGTTTTCAGTTGTTTTGCTGATAAGAATTCGATTCCGTTGCTCTGTCTGTGAATATATCATTTGGTAGCGCTGGTATTCACTCTCAAGGTTATTGATCTGGTTGACTAACATGGTTTTCTCTGCAGCGGATTTCTTAAAATGATAATGTACTAAAGGGCCAATAACATCGCGGTCAAGAACAGTCATGCCTTGGATAAATGTAATTATCTCTTCAGGTAATAAAGAATAGTCAAAGAGTAAGAACAAAGGAGTGGCGGCCATGCCATAAAGATTGGCCATTTGATAAAAGCAATTTATCATCGGTTGTGTATTGAAATCAATAGCAACATGGTACCAAGTGAAAATTCTATGCATTGTCCCACATGGAATTCTGATGAAATTTGGATGCTGCATGAAAATTTGATAATTTATCGCAACAAATGTTTCTATGATCTCTGATATAGCTTGGAATTGGGATAATATGACCAACGATTCAATAGCAATCGCGATATTTTGGAATTGGCATATTAATTTTTGAATTTCATTGTATAAATTTTTGCAATCATAAACAAGTGCACATTTCAATAACGATAATACATTATTTTGAGTAATTTGAAAAGATTCATCGTTTATATAATTGACGAATATCGAAAATGAAACAGAATCAAGATTATCTACTAATTTTATAGGTAATCCTGCATCCGGCCGATATTGATTATAGAGAAACGTTGAGATTGTAAGGAATCTTTGTAAGTTGACCGTAAAACTACTGTCATTATGTATTAAATTGGGTTGAGAATGGGTGTCCATTAATAAACGTGACACAATTGTCACGTTTTCTAAAATAATGAAAAATCAAATCTTAGTACAAAACAAAGAAGATTTCTGCTTGATACACAAAAAACAGGCAAGTAACGTTAACAAGCAGAGATTTACAGAACTGTCATCGTATTTTCGTGAGAGTAATGAAATATTACAAATAAATTTTGCTGATCTAAATGACAACATATCTAAAGAATCTGTTACAGCATTTATCAAATTTATTAACACAGATAACTTAGAAATTACTAAAGAAAATGCTATAGAATTGCTTGATTTGTTCATAGATTGGAAAATTGAAAAATCTTCAAACAAAATTGCTGATTTTATTAATGATAACTTTACTCTAGAAGATATTATTGCAAAAGCAGACAAATACGAGTTCAATACTTGCTTCAATGCGTTTTCATCAGTGATTTCTTCAAGACTTGATGCAGCAATCAAGATTCCTAAGTTTTCAGAACTATCATTAGAGAAAATTACAGCAATTGTGCCATCAAAAAGCATTATTTACTCTGATCATGATCAACTTTTCAATTTTATCATGATAATGCTTGATAAATATCATGATGAAGCATATCCGCTGATATCAGTTATCGATATCAGTAGACTTACACCAAACCAGGCAGAAAAACTGTTTTCAAGACCAGAATTTGCAGTTCCAAACGAGACAGCTCAATCAGACATACAAAGAATCAATGACAAAATACAGACAGTCTCACAGTCCATGGAATCTCTTCAAGGAAACAAGAATTCGTTAAATATTTTAACAGATCGATTCAGAGTTGTCGAAAAGAATTTACAAGACATAACCGATGTAATAGATGCAAATGAGGAGAAATCATTTGAGAAAATCGATGAATTAAAACAAAGAGCGAATAATCTCCAAAGAAAGGTCAAAAACGACTCAAGGAGAATGAGATCTGACTTCAAATCCATCGTTACAAAGATAAAATCATATGAAACTAAATATTCAAATGATTTTGCTGAAGAAGAATAATTTTTCTATTTTTTATTTGTTTTATTGTTAAATACTAAACTTGTTATATTATATTAACACAAAGCAGCTACTTATATCCTCTTTATTTATTTCATATCTCGTTTTGTGATATTTCCAGATTTTTCTATCTTTATTTTGATACAGTGAATAATCTTTATCTTAATTAGCATTGTGTACCCATATTGTGGCTTGAAAAATCCATTTAACAGATGATTCAAAGTTATTCTACATGAAGAAAGCAGTGAAATAACAAGAAAATTATGTTCGAAACACAAAATCTATAATTATATGGTATGCCATCAGAAAGATTTGTCAAATATGCACAAAATATTTTAGCAAAAGGAATTTTATTACAATATCATTATGATTTTACACAAGCCATGCATTTTCTTTTGAAATTATAGATCAAATGATGCCAAAAACATTGATTTTACAGACAAAGAGAAAATTTTATTTTAATTAAAATGAATCATATCTAACATATCATCCTGGTGATTGATGAAAGCTATTGGATATCCAACCTGCAACTTGAAAATCGGTGGTGGCACCATTCCTGACAAACCGAGAAATCCGTAAACAGATCTCTCGTTTTCTCTGTAAATCAGACTGATTCCGAGTGTTCTCGGAACTTTGAACAACCCTGTCTCAGTCACGTTTCCATCAGCTGCCGAACTTGTTTCTCCATCAGGTCGGATAAAAATTGCAAAATCGGCGAGTTTTATAAGAACATGATTTTTTCGAATTTTTTCGCTTTTGGATGCGTGTTTTGAAAAATAGATATTTTCGAATTTTGATTTTATCTTAAGTATAAGTTTTATATTAGGAATTTTTTTGACCTATTTCCAATCATTAATTCCGATGTTTTTTTAGGAATTTATTTGAGAAGAAATTAGGAATTTCGCTTTTATGCTATTACAAACTAATATTATGATGCATGTAGTTTATATTCATTGAGGCCAATGCCGGGATATCTTGCATTAAAAAAAAATTCAAAGAATTGACAATTGGATAGCACAAATTTAATTCTCTAGACAAAGTATTATTGCTTATATATTCAAAACATTATCCTTAGTTTTGATATGTTGGCCAAAAATTTTCGTGTTATTTTTTGTGTTTAAGCATAAATTATGTATTTACTTATGAAGGATAAGCATTTTATTCATTGAGGCCAATGCCGGGATATCTTGCATTAAAAAAAATTCAAAGAATTGACAATTGGATAGCACAAATTTAATTCTCTAGACAAAGTATTATTGCTTATATATTCAAAACATTATCCTTAGTTTTGATATGTTAGTAGTAGGATATGACGGGTTTAGTGACTTTTTTTGTTACATCTATATATAGACGATGCATTAAAATATATTTATTTATAAACCATTAAAAAAAATTAACATTAATTTTAAAATAATTTTTTATCTTTTATAAAAGAAGCTATATATAGATGATGTCAGATATTCCGCGATTAATTAAACATTGTTTAAATCCTGAATGGGTTTAAATATCATCCATGTAAAATTTTAGAACTTGGAAACGAAAAACTTCAGAAAAAATGAGAAAGGGACAGACTATCTCATTGTCACTTTTTAATTTAGCAAATGAACGCTTATGGAGTGGAGTTTTTGGGTAAATCTGATTTGCTTATAAATGAAATAAAATCAAAAGAAACCATATTGGCATTATATTATGCAAAAATAAATGATCTTACTTAGTACTTTTAAAGTTAATTTCAGAAAAAATTTGACACAATGGTATCCGGCACATACAAGTGGTGTACAACCAAAATATAAGTTGGTTTAAACATATATTGCTATATCTCATGATCTTACTTAGTACTTTTAAAGTTAATTTCAGAAAAAATTTGACACAATGGTATCCGGCACATACAAGTGGTGTACAACCAAAATATAAGTTGGTTTAAACATATATTGCTATATCTCATGATCTTACTTAGTACTTTTAAAGTTAATTTCGAGTGGGGGACAAACTCGCCCATTGTCACTTTTTCATTAACCTTAAACTTGTAATTTTCATTATTTTTAATTAACCTTATTTCTTTCCTAATTCCTGATTTATTTTATTCACTTACTATTAAAAGTCACATTTTAATAAAATATAATAATTTATTTATAGCATTTTTTACTATACTGTAATAAAAAATTAATTATAATAAATTAAATGTTTATTAAATCAAATGTTTTCTTTGCAATAATATTTTTAATGTTGAGTAAACAATGTTGGGATCAAGTGTATCATTTTTCAGACCTTTCTGAACAGCTTCAAGCATACTGATGCATTCGACTTTTTTAAATTGTGTCATTTCTTCGAAATCTCTTGTGACTTTTTTGATAATTTTAGCACTTCTCTCTGAATCCAGACCTTTAATTTGCAACTTAATCAGGAATGAAGGAACAACACTGGAATATAACTCGATGCCAAGTTCATCGAGTCGAAGATTTTGCCTTTCTGGGAAGTACTGGTGCTTCAAAACCTTGAAATGTGATTCCGAGATGTTGTTTGTTCCATCTCCTTCATTTCTATAGCGAAGCATCCACCTGTCAAGATGATGGCGCCACTGTCGGTCAAAGTATTCACGGGCAGCAGGTTCCTCATTTAAAATTTCTTCTAAATTGTTGTAAACTTCATCAGGATCAATTTCTTCCTCTTCAGAACCAAAGACCAATAACTTCATTAAGTTATAGAAAGTTTCGAAGTTGGAACGATCTTGAAACTTTTCAGCCTTTCTCATGACAGCGCGCAACACATGAACGCCACACCAAATGATCTGGCATAAGGGGATGGCTGTTTCAACAGCATTTGTGATTTGAGGTGCGCAGTCCATTGAAAAATAAGATGGTTCGCGATTGATGGAGCCAAAATATGCTGTGAGACAAACTTGTATATTTTCACTTGTGTCGGGCCAAACGAAAAAATACAAAAACGGAAAAACAATTGATTCCGCGAATTTGCCAGTGACGGCATAAAATGGTATGCGAGATCGCAAGAGCTTATAAGTGGAATCAATGTGATAAGTTTGTATTTGATGTGAAAAAGCATTTGCTTCGAATGGGGCGTAATAGAAAATCATACGATCTGGCTCGTGAATAAACTCGATGAGATCATCCGGAGAATGACTCTTAACCATGTCGACAAAAATTGCAAGAGATGTAACATCATCCGCTGAGAAACGGGTATTGATTGCATGAAGGCGTTTAGAAAACTTTTTTAAAGCATCTGTAGATTGTTGAAACATTTCCGGAATGATCCCACTATCAAATGGGATATTAAGATCTTTGAAACACCTTAATTGTGCGTAAACACGATCTTGATTTGATTCAAAATATCTTGTTAAATAAGATCTATAAAAATATGATGTAATTTGTTGTGATTTGTTTGGAAAAGGGGCAGAATGATTGTGGGTGTTAATACATTTTCGTATGTGGTACTTGTCATCGGGAAGTGTATCAACAAGGAAGCGACATGGATAATTCGGCCACTTACAATTAAATTGGATTTGATTTCTTTCTTTCCTAGTTTTATATGAATAACTACAACCTGCTTGGATTTCTTGTTGCACTCCATACTTAAGCAACTCGATATATGTGAGTTCGTGATCTTGGATCTGCATTAAAATGAAATGATTTGAAAGAATAAAGAATTTTGAATATATTGGTCTTATTTTGATAAGCTTGGTCGTGTTTTGAATAGCTTGGCCATCTAATTCAATTATGATCTTTGAAAATTAGGTGAAATAAAACTAAACATAAATGTAAAACTAGGGATATGAAATTTTGGTTGTACACCACTTGTATGTGCCGGATACCATTGTGTCAAATTTTTTCTGAAATTAACTTTAAAAGTACTAAGTAAGATCATGAGATATAGCAATATATGTTTAAACCAACTTATATTTTGGTTGTACACCACTTGTATGTGCCGGATACCATTGTGTCAAATTTTTTCTGAAATTAACGAGAAAGGGACAGACTAGCCCATTGTCACTTTTTAATTTAGCAAATGAACGCTTATGGAGTGGAGTTTTTGGGTAAATCTGATTTGCTTATAAATGAAATAAAATCAAAAGAAACCATATTGGCATTATATTATGCAAAAATAAATGATCTTACTTAGTACTTTTAAAGTTAATTTCAGAAAAAATTTGACACAATGGTATCCGGCACATACAAGTGGTGTACAACCAAAATATAAGTTGGTTTAAACATATATTGCTATATCTCATGATCTTACTTAGTACTTTTAAAGTTAATTTCAGAAAAAATTTGACACAATGGTATCCGGCACATACAAGTGGTGTACAACCAAAATATAAGTTGGTTTAAACATATATTGCTATATCTCATGATCTTACTTAGTACTTTTAAAGTTAATTTCAGAAAAAATTTGACACAATGGTATCCGGCACATACAAGTGGTGTACAACCAAAATATAAGTTGGTTTAAACATATATTGCTATATCTCATGATCTTACTTAGTACTTTTAAAGTTAATTTCAGAAAAAATTTGACACAATGGTATCCGGCACATACAAGTGGTGTACAACCAAAATATAAGTTGGTTTAAACATATATTGCTATATCTCATGATCTTACTTAGTACTTTTAAAGTTAATTTCAGAAAAAATTTGACACAATGGTATCCGGCACATACAAGTGGTGTACAACCAAAATATAAGTTGGTTTAAACATATATTGCTATATCTCATGATCTTACTTAGTACTTTTAAAGTTAATTTCAGAAAAAATTTGACACAATGGTATCCGGCACATACAAGTGGTGTACAACCAAAATTTCATATCCCTAGTTTTACATTTATGTTTAGTTTTATTTCACCTAATTTTCAAAGATCATAATTGAATTAGATGGCCAAGCTATTCAAAACACGACCAAGCTTATCAAAATAAGACCAATATATTCAAAATTCTTTATTCTTTCAAATCATTTCATTTTAATGCAGATCCAAGATCACGAACTCACATAT